ACTAATCTGTTCAAGGTCACCTAAAACTTAATTCCAGTGCCGTGGTGTTTCAAGTCATATAATAATCAATATATTATCTGTTGTAATTTGTTGTTTTAACCGTCAAAGTCTTGTCAAAACATATTTTTGATTATAAATATAAAATGGAATGCCCCATTGGTCGCACTGCAAGCACACCAATGGACTGACGCACAAAAACGAATCAATCAATGAAACGCAATATAGTATCGTCTTTGTCAATCACGCTAACATTTTAGAATAAGTAGGAGGAGCACAGGTAGATGATTAGACCGGGCCTTTAAAAACCTACGTCTGCGGTAAAAATTTACGTTTTTAATGTAAAAATGATAGCGCGTGTCGATTCTAACTTCATCAAGAGATGAATCACTCCCAAACATTCGTGGCGTTTACTTTAGAATGTTTAGGAGGGGAGTTAATCACCGCGACCTGACAGATCTACTGTGTGTTTCCCTTTCTTGAGGACAGTGGCCTGTTAGAAACCCCATGACAACCCAAAGATTGTTTTTTTTTTGACACTTTGAATTTCCTGACTTACGGTCTTAAATAATTTGGATACTGTGAATGGAAGTTCGAAACAAGGAGCCTACGCGTTGACCTGTAATTTTTAGTCGGCCGACTATTTAGTTGCAAAAGTGAAAACAATACATGCTAATTGAGCCGATACGATCGGCCGACTATTTGAATGTATGCGAGCGCGGCTTTATAAGGATATTGGTTACAAATATGCAACTTAATAGTCGGCTGATTAAAAGTTTCCTGTCAGCGTATAGCTTCAGGCTACACAATGCAATCGAATATTGACCATAACTCCATAACAATGTATTGTTTTTACTTTTGCAATGAAATAGTCGGCCGACTAATAATTACATGTCAGTGCGTACCTTAATTATCTTAAAAAAACTAATAAAATACATGCTTCAATCAGAAATATGTAATAATTACTTTTATTCAAATATGCGATAATTATTATTTTGACTAGTGTATTTAGAAATATCATCTCATGAAAAATAATTTGTGTTAATTGAAAACTATTTTTTTTTTGGTCTCAGGTAATACAGGGTGGTCCGAATTGTATTCCGGAAACTTCGGCAGCAGTTTTACTTATTTTTATTCTGCAGAGAAAAATAAATAAAAAAGTTCGTATAAATGTAGGTCCTAAAATGCTTAGTTTCAGAGATACAGGGTGTAGAAGTTTCATTTTTATTTCGATTTTTTCTAAATAATTTCTGAAGTAACGTCAATATTTGGATTAAAAATGGTGTCTGGGAGTTTTTTGACATGAGAAATTTGATTTTGATGTCAATATGACTCCTACTAGTAGAGGGCGCCACCTACATGTGTTTTAACCTTTGAATAAGAAGACTAAGGAAGGAGCATAATGCTATCCATGTATTCATGCATGGTGGGCGGAAAAGCGCCATAAAAGCACTCTAGGGTGGGGATCCTTGACAGTTCTGTTTAACGATTCATTTGACACATTTGAATTTGATTTGAAATTTTGTGGATTTGTCAGTCTTTACGAAGCTTATTTTATGTTATTTATTATTTATTCTACTACTGATAGTTGTATAAAGGTAGTAAATCTAGATGGAAATTGTGGCAGAACTTAAATTAACAGTGACACTATCGCGATTTATCGAAAAAGATTCTAAAATAGTTTGCAGTTTGGTTTTGGTTTGGTTTTGGTAGCGTGTGGTAGATCTCGGCAAAAATTGAGTGAAATAATGGAACAGCTTTTCGCTAGTAGTGACTATATAATATACATACGTGTAGTAAACCGATCATTTATGAAATTCACTTAAATTAACTAAATTATATATTTTTCTTTGCATTTTAGCTTTTAATTATTAGTTGTCAAATATTAGATGTCAAAGAATTTAGATACGTTAATTTGACTTACCTGCTTCAATAGCGTATCGGATGTTTTAGTTAATAAATACTTATTATAACTTATCTATTTTTATTAGAATTATATATTTTTATAACAATTTTTAATAACTACCAACATTTATTCACAACGTAGAATAAAACAACAAATTATTGAGTCAACCCCAAGTCTACCCTACATCATAGTTTTTACATTTTTAAATAAAATTAGAACGACACTGATAAACCGGAATTTAAGTCGGCCATATTTGAGGCCCATCGCGGTGTACCTAAGATTTTTGATATGCTCCTTCGTTAGTCTTCTTATTCAAAGGTTTAACTGTTTTGAAGCGTAATAACTTTTTGTCCGTACCTGTTTAAAACTACGGAGCGAAGAAAAATATACATCTCTGTGACTTTCTACGTAAAAATATCTCTTTGTAAAAATCGCTACGAGCAACCTGTTCTGAAGATATTTAGAATGGAAATAGTCAACACATGTCATTGACAAAAATAAACACGCTGAGTAGATAGTTATTTCACTGAAATAATAAATTTGAAAATTTTTATTTTTTTTAAAATTAATCATACATTTTCTGCAAAAATGATGAAAACAGTTTCTGTTGAACTTTTGGCACAAAAATATTTCAGATTTATGATTTCTGTTTAATAACTATTTAGTCAACATGTTTAATTATAATGTCAATGATGACAGGTATTAATAATTTCGATTCAAATATCTCGAAAACCATTATTCGTAGCGATTTTTACCAAGAGAACTTTTTACGTAAAAAATGTCGTAAATGTATAGTTTTTTACTCAGTAGTTTTATACAGCTATGGACGAAAAGTTATTACTCTTCAAACCGGTTAAAAAATATGTAGGTGGCGCCCTCTACTAGTAGAGAGCCATATTGACATCAAAATCAAATTTCTCATGTCAAGAAACTTCCGGACACCAATTTTCATTCAAATATTGACTTTACTTCAGAAATTATTTGGAAAAAATCGAAATAAAAATGAAACTTCTACAACCCTGTATCCCCGAAACTAAGCATTTTTAGGACATAGATTTATACGAACTTTTTACTTATTTTTATATGCAGAATATGCTACCGAAGTTTCCGGAATACAGTTCGGACCACCCTGTATATTGATCTATGAGAATTAAAAAAATATATCATTTTCAGAATAACTAAGAGATTGCTATCATATCCGAACGAATTAATTTCTGATAGTAATTATATTAAGTGTAAATATTACATGAACATTTACATTCCTAGTTCAAGTTCTGGAGTTCACTGTCAGCACTTTGTCAGCACCCCTTGGTTTAATTATTTTAAAGACCCCTTTCTTTTTATCCTCCAGATCCGATGGACTATTTCCTGCTGGACCCGATGACCGGCGAGAGCTCCGCACCGCCCGTCCCCTCGATAAGGAGGCGATCAAAACCCGGACGGCGTTATCACATTCGAAATTAGGGCGCACGAACTGGTGGACGGCGTCAGAGGCAACGATCCCCTAACGGTAACCGCCGCCCTTGCCGTCGTTAAGATTCTGGACGTCAACGACGAACCGCCCCAGTTCAATAGGCGGGAATATTTCGTGGAAATACCGGAAAATATTCCCGAAGGATCGGCGCTGCCCGAATTGAATATGTCCGTGACTGATCCGGATGAGGTAATTTTTATTCAGTATTTGTATTTGGAGGAATTGAACAGGTATTTTCATAACTTTTATAGTCACAAAACGTTTTGAATTAATGAAATTTCGAATTTTCGAATACCTGTAATATCTTCACAAAAAACGTGTAGTGTGACAAAAAAAGCAGCATTAAGAGTCAATTTCGCTATTCCGAAAAAGTAGCAAAATAAGCCTTCGGCATTTAACGTTTTATGTGAAACTGGCTAGGCATTTTTACACAAATGAAGAAGGAAATTAAAGACAAAGGATTATACTATATCCGTATTGTAGCACATTTTTAGACAACTTCTTTATTTTTAAGATGCTGATAGTCAAACGTCAACAAAATATTCCTTATGTTTGGACTAAATTTTCTCGAAAATAAAGATATAATTTAAAATTCCGGTACAATACGGAAATAGATTGAAGTTTTGTGATTACAGTGATTTAAAATTTATATGGTTTTGTAACAAATTGCTCGCTATTTTATGGCAAATGTTGAAGCTCTGCAAACCTTAATTAAGTCTTAACTAAAGCACGTGTGTTTGGAATTTTGGGCGTGGCTTAACACGACAGGATCTGGCTAAGCCTTAGGCAGATTTCTGAAATATAATATATATTTCTTTCGGCCACGCGCCCGCTTTATTCCTCAAACCCTGAGAGCGACTCGAACAGTAAAGCGTAATAGAGTCTTTAATTTTTTTTAAATAACTGTGTATCACAGTTTTTCAAATTATGGCGGGAATATTAGTAATGTTTCGTGGAAATTCCGGGAAATAGTGCCGAAGCTTCGACGCTGCCCGAATTGAGTATGTCCGATGGCCGATCCGGATGAGGTAATTTTATTCAGTACTTATACCGGATGCGTTTCAAAAGTGGTTTACCTCTAACTTCTTTTTTTTTTTTTTCGATTAAAAAAAGAGATTAGGTATGTTAGTATATGGCATAAATTATGATTAATTGGCATATTCAATTGTTTTCGGTGACTTTCTCTTTACAAGAACAACATTACATCTGAAAATATTCCCGAAGGATCGGCGCTGCCAGAATTGAATATGTCCGTGACTGATCGGATGAGGTAACTTTTTATTCGGTATTTGTATTTCTTATAAACAGGTATTTTCATAGCTTTGATAGTCTCAAAACGTTCTTAAAGGAAGGAAAGGATTCGAATAATATTGAATTTTCGATTTTTCAACATTTTTAATACCGTGTTACAAAAAAACAGCATCTAAAAAAAGATAGTGTACATCATGATTTTTAATATTATGATGCGTGTCTATTGTTATATGTGTATTATGTGTATATAGGTATTTTCATAATTTTGTTAGCATCAAACGTTTTGAATTAATGAATTTTTGAATTTATATAATATCTTTACTACCGTGTGACAAAAAAACAGCATTAAAAATTTGTTTTTAAGAAACTTTTTATCACTGTTTTTCATATTATGGCGGGAATATTAGTAATATTTATATGAGGTAACTCTTATTTTGTACTTGTAAAAGTGAAAAGAATTGAATAGTTATTTTTATATTTTTTTAAACTCTTGATAAGATTTTAGAGATAGTTGAGAATTAATTAATTTTTAAACAAGTGCATCTCATACTTTTTAATATTATACAGTGCGTATTGACAAGGGATGATAAGTCTGATCATTTTACATTTTCAATTATTTCCACTATATAGTGACAGTAGTATATGTATATAGACATGTACTTATATGACACTGCATAGCAATACATATCATACGTCAACTTTTGACATTTTCGCTTAAAAAATCGTATTTTAATTTAAGTCTAGTACCACGGCTGTGTTAAAAGCACTAATTTTTAATCAAGGACACCTGAAAAATAGATTTGATTGTTTAATGTTTTTTGTGTCTTGTCCTGGCCGGTTAAAAAATACCCTAATCGTATTTTTAATCATATCTCAATTTTTCAAATGGAACGAGGGTGCAAAACGAAAAAGCATTTTTTACGAATAATTTGGTACATCGTTCTGAACCGCAGGTCGCGATTTAAAATAAACCATATCCAAAAATGTCAAAAGTTAGCATGCCATTCTATTTGGGTTGCCATTTTTTATGGAATAAAGAAAAAATACCGAGGCTGCCATTTAAAATCAAAAGTTGTAGTCATTTCCGGTGAAACAGGAAGTGACCGAAGAAAATTGAATACGTCAATCAATCCATTAATTTATGCCATATGCTAACATACCAAAACTCGTTTTTTTATCTGAAAAAATAAAAAAGGTATAGGGGGTGAGCCACATTTGAGACGCACCCGGTATAATGTTATCATTAATAATAATAGTCATAATAGTTTATTCTTATAAGCCCTATTACAAAGAACAATGAAAAGCTAATTTACAACTTTTTAATTGATCAAGCTGACAAAAGGAAATATATTGCAGACATCTAAAAAGATCTAGATACTGTTTTAGTTATAAATTATATAATAACTTATATTATATATGAAAAAACAAAACAATTAAACAAAAAGGTTTTCCTTTTTTCTATACGCACCTCTCTGCCTAACCATAGACTGCTTTTCGACAATACTCTGTTATTCAGGCAAAGGTTGATTACATAGATTAGGGAACTCGGGAATACTAGTTCTAGAATTAGAATTCAGAACTCGGAATACTACACTTTAGAATTAGAATTAGAATAAGTGGGAGGGGGGTTAATCTCTGCGACCTTAGAGATCTATTGTGTCCCCCTTTCTTGAGTTATAACTCATCATACAGTCCCAGGACTTCCTAAGGAGACTCGTGTCCCTCACAGTCGAGGAGCTACGTCCCAGGCCGGGTAGACGAAACGGTAGCTTGTGTCGCCTGTTGGGTTTAGAGGTAAGAGGTAGGCTCCCGACCCTTGGAGGAGGTGGTAGCTTGTATGCCATTTGCGGAGGATGGTCTCACGCAAGTGTCAGCCACCTCTCCTGTAGTTCTCTTTGGGGTTGGCCCCTTGGAACTTTCATTGTTACTGTTCCCAGTGTCGCTAGGGGGTTTCCCCACAGCTTCACCGGTGATGTTTTTATTACTATTATTATCAGATCTCATAGTGTTCCTATGAGTCGCTAGGGACAGTCGGTCCACTTCTACAGAGCCCCGCATGTAGAAGTAAGGGATAAAATACAATGGGGTGCCCCCCGGTGCCCCAAAGTTGAGGCTGTCCGTAGCCCCGCTCGGTATCGTTATATGTCTTGGTGCAATTCCCTGGGCACGACACTACAGTCAGGGACAAGACGATGAGTGAGATGCTTCTTAGACCAAGCCAAGTGCTAGAGGAGATTCCCCCCAGCACCTGACCAGGAGCTTCCCCACCAACGACAAGGTCTTGCATCTCCTAGGGGAAGATACTATACTACACTTGCTGTCCTCCATTCGCGAATTTCAAGTTCCAGGGCTTTACGCCCTGGGCTACTCAAGAACGGTTCTGAAAGGAGCTCTGCGCGATAGCCTGGTGCCTCCATATGGCGCGGAGCAGTTCTGAACTTTATGACTCAATTGAATGGAGTGAGAGTATCGCGTTCTTGAACAGTTCAGAGCTGCACAACTGCGTGAATGGAGGACAGTAACTGTGTGTGAAAATACGTTCTGACACTTCAGTTTTTATTTATTGTTCAGTCAAAATGAACACAAATAGAAATAGCCTTCATTTTCAATAAAAGCATAACTATACTGTTCATTTTCATTGAAAAATGTGCTCTAACGAAAGTTATTCGTTCAGTAACACTGAATCAGTTAAACTGTTTCAGTGATATTGACCTTTAGAAATATTTTATGATTTTTTTTATTTAATATTTACATTTACATTTACAGCTGTACATACTACATACCTTTAATAATTTTTTATTTAATTATAGGGAAACAATTCTGCCTTTTCATTGGAACTCAACGACATCTCTGGTGCATTTATAATCGAACCCAAACAAGCTGTTGGATCGGCCAATGTTACGATACGTGTAGCTAATAGTTCACTGGATTACGAAGATCCCAATAGAAGAAAATTTATTATTTTGGCCGTTGCTAGAGAGATGTATACTGAACAGAAGCTGTCCTCAACGGCTACAATAACAGTTTCAGGTAATTATAAATCTAAAGTTTTATAAATCTTTGATGTTATTTAGAATGTAGTATCATACAAGTGGCTTCAGTACAATTGGCCACATACCGTATCATCGAAAAAATGGCGTCCTGTTGACTTGGAAATGACGATCGATGCCATTCTCATATAATTTTACATATAAAGTGTCAGCGATCTTCATTTCATAGTCATCACTGACGCCGTTTTTTTTCGATCATTTGGTATCTATACTAATATATAAATTCCAAGAAGGTGAAACCACCCCTCAAATATTACAATATTTTTTATTTAAAAAACAGTCAAGTTTCCGAAAAAACGCTTAAACACGTATATTTTATTTTGTTTTTTACATATTTTATTTTTTTTTTAAATGTATACAGGGTGTTTCGAAAAATCTGGCCATTGATTCATCACGATCCTGCCTAAAGCGCTTGACGTAAAAAGCTGATTTTTGGAAAAAAGATTGACTTTAGGGTGTAGAGGTTCGATAAGAAGGGATTTTTCGAAACTCGGTGCGTTTTCAAGCGTTTTCCCGAAAGAGTAACCGTTTTTTAATTAACAAATATTGTAATATTTGAGGGGCGTTTTCACCCTCTTGGAATTTGAGATTCGAGAAACCCCTCCTTTTCGAATCTCTACACCCCACAGTCAATCCGTTTACCAAAAATCAGCTTTAAACGTCAAGCAGTTTAAGCAGGATCGTGA